GCGGGGGCGCTAAAAGGGGGATCGGAATTTAAAAAAAAAAAAAAAAAGTCCCCCGGTAGGTTGCGGAATGTTTCCCCCGAGCGCAGCGTCCGCGCTCCGGCCAGGAAGACAGGCGAGGTTCGGGGGAGCCTGCAAGCGGGGAAGTACAGCTCCGCCCCTCCCTTACAAGCACTCCAAGGGGGAGAAAAATGTGAAGCTCACGCACATGACGAGCGGGCTGCACCGTCCTGCAAACATGCAGGTCCTCCTCCTCCTCCTCCTCTTGGGAATACCTCCCCCAAGGAAGCACGCCGCGCTTGACGTTCCAAATGCCACTTGATCAGCTGTTGTGGCCTCAGGAGAAGGCAAGTCGTCAGGGAGCAACTCATGACGCTCACCGGTCACCTCATTAGGTACACCTTGTGCACAACATCATGACGGCCGGCTGAACGTCTTGCAGGTTCCAATTGCAGTGGATTCTCCCCGCTACTCGCGGGGGAGAAAGGCCACCGCGAATGGCGAAAATCCGCGGAATGGGCGACCCCATTCGAACCGCCAGCATGCGGTTGTGCACTCAACTATGTCACGTAGATTCCATCGACGCCAAGTTTGCTCCGCTGTCTTTTGGTATCCAATCTTACAACCCAAGTGCAGAAAGAAAGAAACATTCTGGCTTGGGCTCCAACCCCATCTTTCCAAATCTGCATTCATGCACAACTCGGAAAAAATCACGTTGGACAGCCTGACAAAATATAAATCTGTTAAAAAGTAGGACAACAATCTGCCAAAAATGCTTGGGAACATTTTAAATGAAAAATGAAGAAAAAAACCCCAACCGGGTAATTTTGTGTTGAACTGCAAACTTTAAATATTAAAAAGAAAAATAGCGTTCTCCCTCAAGATGAAGGATGTGGCAGTTTTTTTTTTGCTAAAAAAAAAAAAAAATCATCAATAACTCAAACTCGAGAAACCCAAAGTTTTCTGCTTATTTGAGCAGCAACAAGTGAGGAAACCGCACCTTCGATCAACACTGCCACCTGGTGGCCATAAAGGAAATACAGATAAATCAATTTGGGGGGGTCCCAAAATGTTCGGTAAGAAAAATCACAATATATACACCTGTGTATACATTGTAATGTGATGTTTGGGAAAGTGGACTAAGGTGTTAAGATGGACTGCAATTTGGAATAAAAGAAAATCACATGAATGTGATGCTGGATGATTGTATGGCCCCAAGGCCAAATGGTGTGGGCTCCCGGAAGCAGCAAACCATCTGGCATGATCACATTTATTGTTTATAATAATAAAAATAACGATGAGCACAAGATATACATGGGAGGCTGTTATTGCTGTTGGTTGTCTTCGGCTGTTTGCGGTAAAACGCTTTCACTGTTGAACCACAGAGCTTCACTGGTGCGACTGGACAGGATGGCGCGCTCGATCAAAGGCCCTGGAAAAAGGCCAGTTGGGCGGGGGGGAACAAAAAGACAAATTAAGTTATAGTGATAGTCCATCTGAAACTTTTTCTCTAATATTTTACATGAAATTTTTGCACGGAAGCTTCGCCGGCATCATCCACAGAGACAATTTGTGTTTTATCTTTTTAATCAATGTCACATGTTCAATGCACGCCGATTTGCTGGATTAGTTGCGGTTACCCATGTCGGCGGGCCGATGCGAGCGCACGTCGGTCAGGATGATTTCCAGGTTGGCCAAGATGTGTTGAGTGGGAAAGTCCAACTGTGGGGAAATCGGGAGAAGTGGGCGTGAAGCTCCGCCCACTTGAGCTCTGGGCGTGGCGGCGGCGGCGACCTACCGTGGCCACCTGCGTCCGTACGTAGCACTCGCTCTCCACCCCGTACTCGTGGCCCGTGCGGAACAGCGACAGCATTTTGGGGATATTGATGCCGATTGAGCCTTGAAGAAGGGGGATAAAAAACGCACTAGAAAGTTAACGTGTGTGTGTGTGTGTGTGTGTGTGTGTGTGTGTGTGTGTGTGTGTGTGTGTGTATATATTTCGTTTAATTTTTTGAAGAAGCTTCAGCGCACCCCTCTTGCTCTTCGGAAACTTCTTCCGTAGTTTGTTTTTCAGCGGCGTCAGTTTCTGCAGCATTTCTGGCACAGCGACGTAATAGTCGGCCTCGACCTCGTCATCTAATATCTGTGGAGGTGGGGGGGGGGGGGCAATTGGGGGCATTTGTCATGAAAAATAATTGTGTACTTTTCATCACTTTTTTGTGTATGTTCATGTTTGCACTTTGCCCAACCTTTTTTCTTTATATTTTCAGAAATTGATTTCTGATATTTTTGTAGTATTTCTCTGGTCAAATATATTTTCTAATATTTATGTGTGTGTGTGTATA